TAAGTCTCCTCTATCCGATCTGATTGTTCGTGATGTACACGAGACTAGGTCATGCTGGTAGAAACCATGTCCTGTCTGCACTAAGAGAGGAATTTTGGATTACAAACGCTAATTCTGCTGTCAGAAGTATTTTGAACAAATGTGTACTTTGTAGGAGATTAAAGATGTCCACCGTCAGCAGATTATGTCCGATCTCCCACCAACAGGGTACAGCCATCTCCACCATTCACCTGCACTGGACTAGATTGTTTTGGCCCTCACACCGTCAGAGAAGGACGCAAGGAAGTAAAACGGTATGGTGTCCTGTTTACTTGCATGGTTAGCAGAGCTGTTCACATAGAGACTGCCAACTCCTTAAATACAGACTCCTTTATTAATGCTCTTAGACGTTTTATCGCCCGCAGAGGAGCAGTGAAAGAGATCTCTTGTGACAACGGCACAAACTTCACTAGTGGAGCCAAGGAACTTTGTCATGCACTTGATGAAATCGACCAGTCTGAAGTTCACAATTACTTGTTGAAACTGAACATCATCTGGAAGTTCAACCCACCTTCAGCCAGTCATATGGGAGGTGTATGGGAAAGGCTGATACACGGTCTGTCCGTGGTGTTCTCAACCCGCTTCTCCAAGAATACAGTCAACGCTTCTTGATGATGAGCTGTATAGAACACTCCTGTGTGAAGTTGAGTCGATTTTGAATTCTAGGCCTCTGACAACAATGTCCAGTGATCCGTCCAGATGTAGAACCATTGACACCCAACCATTTGCTGATGGTAAGATCCAGTGCGTACATTCCACCACCTGGAGTATTTCAGGCATCTGATGTCTCATGCATACGCCGATGGAGACGCGGTACAGTACTTGGCAGAGCTTTTCTGGAGTAGATGGAGAAAGGAGTACCTTTAACACTTCAGAAACGCCAGAAATGGCAAGCTCCAAAAGGAACTTCAAGGTAAACGATATTGTTCTGGTCAAGGACGATAACCTCCCCCAGGAATGCTTGGCTCATGGCTCGCGTTGTGGACACTGAACCCGACAGTCGTGGCTTTGTCAGAAGTGTGACCCTCAAGACAAGAGGTTCAGATCTCCGAAGGCCAATTCACAAACTAGTATTGCTCGTACCTGCTGCAGAATAAGTTGATTATCTCAGGTATTAAGTGTTGTCAAGACCAGTTAGGTATTCCGCATTATTGTATTGTTTTGTCTTAAACACCCTAGGTGTGTTTAACGGGCCGGGTGTGTTAATGCTAAATACAAGTTATGTTATATTCAGTAATGTTAAGCATTGTTAAACCAGGCATGAATGAGTGTATTGTACGGTGGCCTAGTGGTTAACACATTAGACTTGTGATCCAAAGAGCTAGGGTTCAAATCCAGCGTAATGGCAAAACTTTTGTAAATTTAATTAGTAAATATATAGCCTCATTTTCATTATTGATGGTCACATGACCTAACCCTTGCACAAAATCTTCATGCAAAGGCTGATTCACTGTGCTATCCACATGGTCACTTGGCTGTCTGCAAATCTCTCCGTATGGCAACACAAATGTGAGTACTTTTAATCATACATTGTATAACTTTTATATGACATTTGAATAGTATATGTTGTTGGAGTTATCATGGGAATATTTTGACCTTATACACAGGAGAATGCAATTTTCAGTGAGTTTGGATCGCCAGCATTACCTGGATGTGTTCCCAGACATACCTGTAGTTCCTGCAGAATATTGGCAGCTTCTGCAATCTTCCCAGCATCTTCCTTTATCTTTGCCAAAGTACGTGTCAAGCGAGCTCTTTCAATTTCCACATATATCTATCAACAGAGTCAAGCACATGCAATGCAATTAACTAATTAAAACAGATTCAAACAAGTCAATTAATTGCTTAACAATTTGGAAGCAGTCAGATCTCTCACAAAATCCTTATGTGATTTGAAAAGACAGACATCGCCCACGGGAAATGGAAATGTTTTGCTTTTTTCACGGGGCACAAGTCTAAACTATGTTGATTGATGTAATTCTAGAGCAACTTCATCTGTGAGATACCTAAATGCATCAGGTACTAATTACAAGACTACAGTGTTTCAGCTGTACACATGAGAGATCTGCTGAACAATTTGTGGGAGGCCCAATCAGTTGTATTTTCTTATCAGCCAATCAGTGTTTAGGCTTCTAAATTCTTGTATGAAGATAGGAAAGGATTAAGAGCAGAATATCTGATTTCCATATCTTGGATATGAATCTAAACAACCAGTTCTTGACTGAATATTATAAAGGATGTGCATTTATTTTGTTGCAAATATTCTGTATACCCATTTCTGAGCAGTGTGGGGTCTGGAATTGAAGGGTGTACTATTGAGGGAGTATTTGTGTTTTCTCCAGTCAACACTGAATTATTCAAATCGAGATGGTTAAGAACTGGTGTCCAACTGTTTAGAAAGCAACTTTAGATAATACTTACATTGTGTTACACTATTCATGCTACTGGACAATCAGATTTCTCACTGTGTATTTGTACAAAGGAAACTCAATGTTAATTGGGTATTGGTGATTTAGTTTGCCCATTTTACATAAATATCTGGTGCTCTGTGTCATCAAACACAAAACCTTCTTTCAGCATAATAATTTTCACCCTAGGTACTACTTACCTTGCCAGCTGTGACAGTGCGAAGTGTATCAATGAGCTTCAGCTTGACTTCTAAGTTGGGAGTCTTCTCAACATAGGTGCAAGCCTCTTGGATCATCTTTGTCACTGCCTGATGAGGAAACAACGACATCCGTAATAGTGAGCAAGTGAGTGAGAGGATAGGTGGGCTTGTGAGTTAGTGGATGGGTGAGTGGGGAATGTGAGGAATTGAACCTGGGTTTTCTTTGTGATGAGCGAACGCTTTAACCACTCGGCTAACCCACCACCCCAATCATATCAATATGAGTGAGTGAGTTTAGTTACATTCTGCTTTTAGCATTATTCCAGCAATATCATGGTGGGGGGACACCAGAAATGGGCTTCACATCATATCAATATGAGTGAGTGAGTTTAGTTACATTCAGCTTTTAGCATTATTCCAGCAATATCACGGTGGGGGGACACCAGAAATGGGCTTCACATCATATCAATATGAGTGAGTGAGTTTAGTTACACGCAGCTTTTAGCATTATTCCAGCAATATCACGGTGGGGGGACACCAGAAATGGGCTTCACATCATATCAATATGAGTGAGTGAGTTTAGTTACACGCCGCTTTTAGCATTATTCCAGCAATATCACCGCGGGGGGGGCACCAGAAATGGGCTTCACATCATATCAATATGAGTGAGTGAGTGAGTTTAGTTACACGCCACTTTTAGCATTATTCCAGCAATATCACGGTGGGGGGACACCAGAAATGGGCTTCACATCATATCAATATGAGTGAGTGAGTTTAGTTACACGCAGCTTTTAGCATTATTCCAGCAATATCACGTCACCAGAAATGGGCTTCACATCATCAGTGAGTGAGTTTAGTTACACGCAGGATTATTCCACAATATCAGAAATGGGCTTCACATCATATCAATATGAGTGAGTGAGTGAGTTTAGTTACACGCAGCTTTTAGCATTATTCAGCAATATCACGTTGGGGGGACACCAGAAATGGGCTTCACATCATATCAATATGAGTGAGTGAGTTTAGTTACATGCAGCTTTTAGCATTAATTCAGCAATATCACGGTGGGGGGACACCAGAAATGGGCTTCACATCATATCAATATGAGTGAGTGAGTGAGTGAGTTTAGTTACACGCAGCTTTTAGCATTATTCCAGCAATATCACGGTGGGGGGACACCAGAAATGGGCTTCACATCATATCAATATGAGTGAGTGAGTTTAGTTACATGCCGCTTTTAGCATTAATCCAGCAATATCACCGTGGGGGGACACCAGAAATGGGCTTCACATCATATCAATATGGGAGGGAGGACCAACACTACAGTTTTAGACGTTTACACTATTAGTGATACAACCAGAATCGGGGCAAATCTGGGATTTAAACCCACATATTTGGTTTCTGGCACATCAAGTGTTGCAGTTCTGATTATTGTACCTTAAACCACTAGGATAACTGATACACTTGAAAATTACCCAAGTTAATATTTAAGTAAATCACTATATATAATTGGTAGCTTGTCAGATGGAACATGTACATAACATATGCTTTGTGGTATCAGACAAACCATACTCTTCAGAACAAGTTACTGAGCAGCTGCTTCATTTGGAAGGATTGTTTTCACAGTACACACCAGGCATAAGAGATTGACTATAGGTATTTGAAAATATCCAATGTTCATCTTCTCTGAAGTAGAATACACTGTAACATGTTGGTAGAGTCAGAGTTGCTGGGTCAGCCAAGCTACCTGTTTGATCTGTCCTCTCTTCTTGGTGAGCAGCACAATGTTTTCGTTCAAAGCATCCCAGTTTTTGGCCTCAAATGAAAGTTTGACGACTGCAACCAGGATCCGTCCAGTGGAATGGGTGTCCGACGCCTGGAAATAAAAATATGTAACTATTGAATCAGGTCTTAACAAAACATGCCACACTGATTATTATCTAATTCCTTGATTATTTTCAGACCGCCGCCATATAGCTGCAATATTGCTGAGTGTGGTGTAAAACAACAAACCAAACCAAAACTATTATCTAATGGGTTGTCAAATTGTTTTGTAAATTTATAACTGAAATTCTGCACTTGTATATCAAGGGTGCTAACATCATGTCAGAATCAGAAACAAAAACATTATCCGCTAGAGTGACAGTTTGGTTTCACATCGCTATGAACAGTATTTAAGTAATATTACTGTGGAAGATTATTGTAGGAGGGAAAAAACACAAGTTTTCAGGTCAAACCATTACTACTTTGGTGAAACCAGTGAACACAGATATGGTACTGACAATACGGACAATGTAAGAATCAACCCCACTTATGACAATCATGCTCGAACACAACCATGTTTAACCAACCAGGAGACACAACTCTTCAATGGACAAAAATCTTTACTTGGCCCTTACATATTAAGTGTGAAGTTAACTTAATTTCAGAATTCAACACCACAACCCTCCCTTTTTATGTCAGACACTGTCAGTGATGAATCGCAAAACAAACACTGTCAAACATGTTCGCTGTCCCGTAAGTGGGGCAAAATATTGTGCATTTAGCACTGTTGGTAATTGAAATTATATGAAAATGATTGTCCAAATCCAGGAACAGGATTTCTGGATAAATGAAGCATTTTATGTAGGATGCATATCATTTCACATACATATCACCCAGTAAGTGAGGTTTCTGGATAATGGCGGTCTGGATAAGCTAGACTCCACTGTTATTGTTAACTCCAGGTAGAAACTATGTGTATAGAAACATACACTGCTCATTTCTACAATAAAAAATGAATAGTAGACTGAACAGCAATGTAGCTAGGTGAGGCAAGCCTGAACAATGTCAGAGCTACAGATAATTTTTTGGGTCATTGAGTAATGTACTCGCTTGTGTTCATCTCAATTGGGTATCCTAATTTTCCTTTGAGTAACCAAATACATTGTACTCATCTCACTCAAACTCAATTCGGTATTTTGGCATTTTCCATTAATTGTAAAAACATATTTAAATTGAAACGTTGGTTTACGCAGCAGCTTATCTGTACCTCTGAATATTATATCTTGACTGACTGACTGATCCTAAATTATAATAACTTGTTACAAAGTACACAGCAACAAACACAACCTTATAAAGTAAACAACAGGTTTGGTGGCATCACTTCTTATTGAAAAGGCTGGATCAGTGGCTATCTATCCCCTATTGATCTGGCAACCAACTCTTGTCAGGACTGATATCATAAGATGAACACCGGCCTACAGAAATGACATGTCCTTAAATATCACCAACGTCTATTTAGATATGTTTACTATGTTACTATGGCAACCAGCTGACATGAACGGACATTCATGTTTATTGAGATTGCAAAACAAAGGTTTTGTTTGTTGGTTTGTTTGTTGTTTTACACCACACTCAGCAATATTCCAGCTATATGGCAGGGGTCTGTAAATGATCGAGTCTGGACCAGACAATCCAGTGATCAACAGTATGAGCATCGATCTATGCAATTGGGATACGATGACATGTGTGAACCGAGTCAGCGGGCCTAACCACCTGATCCCGTTAGTCGCCTCTTACGACAAGCATAGTCGCCTTTTGTGGCAAGCATGGGTTACTGAAGACCTAATCTACCCCAGATCTTCAGTATGATGACACCTTGAACAGTATTTATACAACATGTACAACAAGCAATGCTTGGTGAAGACCAATTTTAGCCCAGGATTTACAGATCGCAAAACAAAGGTACATAAGAGAATCATGATCATCGACCTCATCATCATCATCATATACATACACTTTTGCAGTCTCTGCCGAAAATAGGATTACCTTACACACATTCCAAAATTACTTTCAGACTCTTAAATATATAGCACGATTCTCCAATAAGTACTCCCTGACCAATTTTTTATGAAATATTTATAAGCACCCCTGTAGATGTGTTATAAGACCAAAAAGTAATGACAATTTTTTAGTGTATATCACAGATATTTCAAAAACATTTTCATAGAAAACATAAGCATGAGAAGGGCAGAAACCTTTAATTGCCTCATGCCAGTCTGACTTTAAACATGTTAAATGGACACAAGAGTGAGTGAGTGAGTAAAAATTTATAGTCACATCGGCAATATTTCAGCCATGTTGTGACTTAAAAAGTTATAAATTAACAATAAACATAATTACATTATAAAACACCTGTCGACGAAGGACAGTAACACAACTAGATTATCACAGGAATAAATTTGAGACTAGTAATTAAATCTAAAATATTTTACCTATAAATGACAATACAGAATAAAAAAACGCTAAAGATCGCCAACAACTGAAGGTAGATCACCATACTAGGAACCATGCGGACTTACATTACTTTTGCTACCTGCATGGACCCTAGCTGGATTTACACCATCCCTTCAGACGATGGCGATTGTAGTGGAATTTAGCCATAAGTTAAAAGCACAAATATACTACGTTTAAAGAATCTGGTAAGTTGAGATTGACTTTAAATGTTTCGGGACTTACGTACCCTCTCAGGAGTAAATGGACACAAGACAAGTGGCTAAAATCAGAGATTGCAGTACAGGTAACTATTATCAAGGAAACTTTAGTTTCATCAACATAACAACATCAACTTACTGTGTATTGTTTTAATAAGTGTCCCTTGAATAATTCAAGTGATGATGATGCTTATTATGACATATACAGTAAGTAAGCACTTTCTTCATCATACAACAAGTACAATATATAATTACAGTTTCAATGAAGTATGGATATGTTACATATTTCCTGCCCAATAATTATGACAATTACATCATATTAACTATCCAGAATGATGGGTTGACTGACAAATTGCAAAGGATTATTCAACCTATTGACCCAAACCAATGGGGTCACCTTCTCTCATTAAGCAAGTAATTACGACATCACTATCCTGATTAATAATCTGCTGTAACAACTTGCATCATAATAATCCCTCCACATCCATAGCTTCATGGAGACTGCATTGTCAATCAATTGGAGCATGTTGAGTTACCATGGTTACTAGGGATTGACACTACCTTGAACAGTTTTCGGTTATCTTGGTTACATCACCAGATGTTAGCAAGGGGGAGGTCTTACACATTTACCTCATTTTCAGAATGAAACCCAAGTTGGAATTGGTCTTCAGCAACCCATGCTTGTCGTAAGAAGTGACTAATGGGATCGGGTGGTCAGGCTTGCTGATTTGGTTGACATTGTCATCGTATCACAAATGTATAGATCAATACTCATGCTGTTAATCAATGGATATTCTAGCCCAGTCTTGATTATTGACAGAATACCATCATATAGCTAAGAACAATGTTGAATGCAGTATTAAACAACAACCAACCAATCAAAATCAGAGATGAAAAATTTAAAATTTAATCTGAAACATGTACCCTGTTATCTAGCCTGAAAAGTGCTAACAAAATATAACAGCCAAACAGGGTTTCACCTTGACTTACAAAACCAATTTCTAGTGCCCTTGCAGGGAATATTTGGTTGGCAAAGTAATGACAAGTTGCATTGTACTGTAAGGTATGGTAAAAAATGAAATATTTTGTTGTTAATTATTCGGCACAGTGAACATCATAGTGCCTCTGTTGAGATAACAGACTCGTTTTTCTGCTTCTGTTCCACACATTTAATACATCTGGGCTATCCTGGACACACTATTCAGCAGAATGTAAATCCCTTCAAAATTCCCTGAAATTGTACCAGCTTTCAGAATGTATTTAAAACATTAGAAAGACTGACTTGCTGGTCTACATTCCTGCTTCGTTGAAAATTAATGAAATGACTGGAAACAGATACCTCCAGACACTACACCTGTCTCATATATGCTGCAGTTGAACATGTTGATTTTGCTCAAAACATATTGAATTACAATTTACACATTGACAGATGAATAAATGGTTTACACCTGGTTTAGTTAATTGGTCAAAGATACTTTTTGAAAGGTTGCATGGCTGATACAGTAGAATGGAATGAGTGAGTGAGTGAGTTTAGTCTTATGCTGCACTCAGCAATATTCCAGTTATATGGCAGTGATGACATGTGTCAACCCAGTCAGCGAGCCTGACCACCCGATCCTGTTAGTCACCTCTTACGACAAGCATGGGTTACTGAAGGCACATTCTAACCCGGACCTTCATGGGTTAGAATGGAATGAGTAATTGAGCACGGCGAGTAATATTGTTTCAAACTTTAATGACCTTCATGTCTTTCATAACGGAGACTGTAAATAATGGAATTTGAATCTGGTTACTTCAGTTTATTGTTCATGTGCACTTATGAAAACATGGAAATGGTTTTGGAAATCCCATATATGTACATTTTCATTTTATTTTTACAAAATTGCATTGTGTGTCTATCCTTTAGGTTTGTGCCATATACAGGGCCATAAAAAAAATCATATTTCTAGTTACATACAACTTCAAATTCACATACCCTAAATGAGGAATACAAACGATATTATTCAACTGTCATATTACATCGACTGATGGTTATCTAGATTAGCACTGACTGACTGACTGACTGAGTTTGGTTTTACGCCGCTTTTAGCAATATTCCAGCAACATCACGGCGGGGGACATCAGAAATGGGCTTCACACATTGTACCCTTCTAGATTAGCATCATCTGCCAATACAATCTGTAACTCGTTGTTAATGATGATGCTAGTTAATCTGTACTCACTGTTCTTGTTTGTTTTTCCAAACCAAGGAGGATTTCCACGGCTTCTGTCAGTTTCCCTTGCTGTCAAATAGAGGATTCATGAATATATGACACAAGTGATATGTAAATAACATGTTTTGGGTAAGTTCATTGGAATCTGAGAGTGAGAGGCCTATTATAAAATTGCAGTGATTAGTATACAACTAGGTACATGTGGGACTTCTATCTGTGACATATTATATCATAGGGGATAGGGTACCAGTAATGACTGGTTTTACACCGCTTTTAGCAATATTCCAGCAATATCACGGTGGGGGACACCAGAAATGGGCTTCAAGTGGGGAATCGAATCTTGGATCTTCAGTGGGATGAGCGGGCGCTTTAACCACTGGTCTACCCCATCGCCCCTTGGGTACCAGTAGCCGGTCCCTAGACAATGAGGCTAGAATGCACTTTACTGGGCGCAGCACTCGCTGCTCCCTTTACGATCCTTAGGGTTAAGGTTAGGGTATGCCACCGTTTACGATCCTTAGGGTTAGGGTTAGGGAACCTCAGCATTAATAATTATTCAGAAAAAGTGCGCCCGGTAAAGTTTAGTACTCCCGACAATGACATAATCTTACCACAGCAAGCTACAGAAGTACATACAATTACTACAAAATATGCCCGGTAAAAATACTCGGTGCGCGAAAACTGGAGCTCATATATTTTATTCGTAAGAATCGTGTATTTTTAAGTTCAAGGGTCTTAGGACGTCACTACAAAGGCGATACTTACTTTGACTAACTTTTCACATTTCGGCAACTTTTCATCAACAGTTGAACTGTAATCTACTTCCATTTTCTGGATGCGGCCTTCGGCCGCAGCCATGGTCTCCGCGTTGTCCGACATGATGATAAGGGGAATTCACACTGAACGTATATCCTTACAACCTATTTTCCATTCGCTACTTAGATTCATCGGACTGTGTTCGTCATTCCCCTTTTGGTATGAATTTATTAAGTAATACACGACAATATTCTTCATACGATTTGAAAATGTAATTATTCTGAGTTAGTGAGATTTTATACGCGAGCGCATATGAAAATATCTCCCATGTTGAATTAGTTGTAAAACAATAATATCTTGACCGTCAACGGGTTTGTCTGGTATATGCCATAGGTTGCGATGCGATCGCACACATATAACTGTTCTTTTCTATGAAAGACAGAGCCCAGCCAAATGAACTCGAATAACACCTATTACTATATAAACAATATAATCAAGCTCTATACACTGATACGACGGGGCATAACTCCTCTCGGAAAAATATACCGGTTCATTTCCGGGTCGCTGTCACTCAGATCTCATTACCTACAGCAGAGCTCACCACTGTAAGTCTACCAGTTGACAGATGAGGATCTAGACAGTGCTCGAGCATGTATCTCAAGGAATATCGGATATGTATGCCGCTATCAGTCGAAGAGGTATTTACAACAAATTTCAGTCTTCATTTATGCCAAACGTGACAGAAATGATGTACGATTGTATAGTTAAGAGCATGCATATATATAGGCATACAGAAATTGACATATATTCTACAATACTGCATATAAACTAGCTAATATGTGTGCACTGACTCTCCAGCCATTCGGGGTGATATTTCATCTTCTTGCTCTGCTTATTGATCAATGACATGAATTGTGGCTTTATGATAATGTCTCATATACAAAATGGTAAACAACTAATTAATGATTTCCATCATGTATATTCATTTCTGTATATATACATGTTCATTATCTTTTCGGTAAACATTACCATTTGATTATAGCTGTTATTTTACAGGCAAGAGTGATAGTTCTCAGTTTTACTTTTAATATATTTTGGATGGCTATTTGACTGCAAGCTCATAGAAATATTGCAGCAGATTGAATTAAATATATGTAGGATTATTGTATGTGTTTAGTGTTATAGTTAGGAGTTACATATTGAATTGTTCCACATATAAATCAACAGCACAAAAACATCAATGAATGCTCAACATGCTAAAGGAACACAAGCTAGGCTCAGACTTCCACCAGTCTTTCTGCACAGGACCTTGAAACTAATAGTCTTATCGTGTCGAAGGCCTTATCTGCAAGTTTGTTATTATAGAATATTATTTACATGGTCCTGTGCTCTGCGAGTTTGTTATTGTGGAATATTAGTTACATGGTCCTGTACATTCTGTCACTGCTGTGAGTAGATTTGCTGACTGAGGCAACATCAAACTAGGCGGCAGTCTTCTAAGATAGCAGAAAAAAACTGATGAAATTTCTTTATACATATCTGAACATGTCTTTTTGTCAATAATCTATGGAGATTTCAGTTTTGCAAAGTGAGCATGGTAATTAAATTCTTCAACGTACGCAAAGAAACAAGAATCGTGGTGAAGTTTTATCAGATGTCGGGTTTTTTTACATATACCGCTGGTGGCTATAACTTGATGAAAAGTGAAATATCACTGCTGTTGACGGCAGTGAAAATTTGTTCTGATTACTGATTGTGTGGATGATGATGATGATGATGTGGATGATCAGATTTCTATATTTCTTAGCTTGATTATAAAAATTAGCATATGATTTATCTGCAGCTGTAAAATGAAACCCAAGTTTCTAAGTGTATGGTTATAGTGTACTAATATTACTATGAACTGACACATGCAAATTTGATATAAACCAACGATTACACTAAACACATATGTATTATGTGTACAAGTATGTATTCAGAGCAAATATGTATCATTTTAGCAACAAATAAGTTAATATTGTGATCCAGACACAACTGTTATGTTGTAGGCAGCTAAGCTACATATACAGCAATCGCTACACCCTTGTACGGTAGCCTAGTGGTTAAAGCGTTCGCTTGTCACGCTAAATATCTGAGTTCAATTTCCACATGGGTACAATGTGTGAAGCCCTTTTCTCGTGTCCCCTGCTGTGATATTGCTGGAATTTTGCTAAAAGTGGCGTAAAACCATACTCACTCATTACACCCTTGTCTGTGTTGACTGTATAATCATCACCAGTAAACTTGCCATATCTACTTCATATTCATTCAATGATTTAATTGAAGGTATGATTAGTAGGTGCACCACTCAGTCTTTCAGATTACCTGACAAAGATGTCACAATAACTCAAGAAACATGTCAACTTAGGTGCCATGACCAACGTTTACCTCTGTTGTGTCTGTTTGAGTGATGTGTTTGTTTTGTTTTAAAAATATTTTATTGGTGAGAAAAGGATTGGGTACAAGTTATACAACTTAGAACACCCTCTCCATAGTATTTATATAATATTATTTACATTCATTATACAAGGTGTACAGACAAGAACAGTAAGATTGAAAACAGTGGAACAATTGCAATAATTATAAAAAAATTCTTTTTGATTGACTAATATATGTTTGAACAATTTTAGATATGTTTTGATTACGCAAACAGTCAGATCTGCATTGCCATGTAATAGTAACACATAGTTTATATTCATATTGGTAACACTGCGTAGATTAGTCATCATGGTAGTACTCTGTACCGTATATAATTGACACTAAATAGGTAATGATAAAATTTTCACAAACATTTCCACAAGAACAACTTGGGAGTGGATCATAATTCAATTGACTACACATGTAACGTAGTTTTGTAATTAGGATATTATTGTGATGTGTTGTGGATATACAGGAATCAGTTATTCACATCTGTCATTTCCTGTAAGCAGTGTAGGAAAGATGTAGAAAATCTAGCCTGTCCACAGGACTGGCAGGTCAAATTTTTTACCAGTCCTGCCAAAATCTAGCCTGTCCTCCAAATATAAATAAAACACCTTCGGCAGTAAATATTCAAAAAGGTTATAATCATTATATATATATGTCATTGGTTTGCTAAAATTGACCCGACATGAGGACGGACTAGATATTTTTTTAACCCGTCCTCCACAAAATTCACCTGTCTCGGACGTTGGGACGGGCTATCTTTCCTACACTGCTGTAAGTGACGTATTCAATGTAAGACAGGGTTATAGATCAAGGTCTGATGTCGTGACTATATTTGTTATGTAATATGAACGTGGAAGTGCAATAGGAGAGGAACGACGAGTCAAGGTACGGAACAGTGATAATATATTGATTGGTTAATCATGTTAATCGTTGTTATCTTACACCCACAGGGATCTTAACAGTCAGTCATGAAAATAGTTGTCACTGGTTCTATCTCAGCTGACCAATCAGGCTTGACGCGGGTCTGAAACATCTGTAGCAATATACATGATCAGCTGATAAATCAACATGTTATTATCCTGAAATGCTGTACATGTTTTCAGTATCAGAATGTTGAAAGCGACAAGTTCTCTGTATAGCTATACCTTTATGAGACAATGTTCGTTTATGTGGATATCGATGGATACAACTTGAACAAGGTGAGGTGAGGTGAAATTGGGTTTAACGTCGTGCTTGAGAATATTTCGCTCTTATGACGATGTACATGTGTGTGTATGTGTATGTGTGGCTGCTTGTACTAGCCCAGACTGAAGCTGGTTTTATAGTGCTAGCTCACTGAGATACCATGCCGGAGTTAAGCATGAAATGATGAATACCCCACGCAGACACATTATACTGACTCCGAGCCGACCATTCCTTGCTGTACCCATTAATGCCGAGCGCCAGGCAGGGACCAACAAGTACCATATTTTAACGTCTTTTGGTATGACGCGACTGGGGATCGAACCCGCGACCTTCCACTCTTTGAACGGACGCTCTAACCACTACACCACGGAGGCAGTCACTTGAACAAGGTATCTGCTGTTATTATGCATATCACATTTTGTTATTGTAATTATGATAGTTGCATATTATTTTCGCTCCATTTGTTGAAGAATGGAACAGAATGTTAGTTCATGTACGCTTTCTTTGGGAAATATTGGTTTGTGTTACCATGGTTACAAGTCAAGATTTGGTGAACAAAAATCACAAAATTCCCTTCAAATGACCTCGCGATAATTCGTCAATAGCTGATATGATCCTGCATTTTGTAGAGAGACATTTTGTAATTAATTAAAAAGAATCATTGATTTCATTTCTTGATATCAGTGTACAACATTACTTGATCAATTATTCCTTCTAGCATGTGGTTAAAATAAACACTGGCAGTAGGGAAGGCAATACACTTTCACCTTGTTAAAGGAAGAGAGAGTTATGGAAAAGCTAGGCAAGCAGACGACATAGAAAGGCACATACAGGGAAGTTTATTGAAATATGATTATGTCTCACTAATATTAATGGCGCCTCTGAGTTTGTAATAACTGTACTTTACTGTAACGACACGTTTTTTTAACCAGACTGATGTTGGTCTCCTATTGAAAATTCGTTGATAAGCCATAATCAGCCCAGCAGACATGTACACAAGTCTTGTGATTACACCCTGATGTGACGGTCTTTATTTTCACTCTATTCACATGCAAAACATTCCATGTTGTTGATAGTTCTATGATCATTTTTGTCAGAGCCCAATATTAGGCCCAAAAGAAACATGTTTTCTTTGTAAGTTTTCATCAAGGCACAGTGGTTTCAGATTAATGTCTTTCAGTGTGAATTGTTGAATAAATGAAGTGAGGCATTGTTTACGGGATCACTGTAAGTCCACAGTAGCAAAGGTGAAACTAGTCCGTGTGATTGCTATTTCTGGAAATCATTCATGACTATATTGATTACAGTGTTCATGGAATGTGGAAAATACAATTGAGGCTAATAATAACCTTATATACATACTTGATGTCAAGTAGTTAGTTCCTTTTGCGTATTCCCGTGAAGGTCCGGGTTAGAATGAACCTTCAGTAACCCATGCTTGTCGTAAGAGGCGACTAACGGGATTGGGTGGTCAGGCTCGCTGACTTGGTTCACACATGTCATCGGTTCCCAGATCGATGCTCATGCTGTTGATCACTGGATTGTCTGGTCCAGACTCGATTATTAACAGACCGCCACCATATAGCTGGAATATTGCTGAGTGCGGCGTAAAACTAAACTCACTCACTCACTCCTCTTGCATATTACAGATTTTTTAACAGACAAGTTCTCTACCAGTAACTTGTTTGAGGGACTGGAATATTGCTAAAAGCGGTGTAAAACCAAACTCACTCACTCACTCACTCTTTGAGAGACATTTAGAAGTTGGAGCAGTAAGGAAGGATAACAGCTTGAAGATGTGGATGAACAAGTTTCTTATTACACATCCTCGTGTAGGTTCTAACACCATTATCAAGGAAATGATCAACAGAATAAGGATAGAGATACCATTAATTATTATCGCACAAGTTTTATTTACATCGACATCTGAGCTAAGAATTGCTCTCTCTTGTGCAGTCTATAACAGTAAATCTACCTTGTATTGTATGGTTTTAACAAGGCCCCTCCAGGCATTGCTCTACATGATTGCACAAATATAATGTATTCT